ACTACTACTACTGCTACTACTACTACTACTACTACTACTGACTACTAACTACTACTACTACTACTACTACTACTACTACTGCTACTACTGCTACTACTGCTACTACTGCTACTGCTGCTACTACTGCTACAACTACTACTACTACTACTACTACTACTACTACTACTACTACCCACACCTACTACTACTACACACACCTACTACTACTACTACGACGACGACGACGACTACTACTACTACCACTACTACTACTACTACTACTACTACTACTACTACTCATGCTACTGCTACTGCTACTACTACACTACTACCTACTGCTACTTCTACTACTGCTGCTACTGCTAGGGCTGCTAGGGTAAGCTCCAAACAAAGGAAAGGCTTGCTACATCCTGCACCAAATAGCCTTTGATGTCATCAGGCGGCAGCTCTTCTTCCATGTGCACACACTGCGAAGTGAATTGTTAAAGGTTCGCTGATTTTCTGCCGCTAGTGAATGCATATGACCAAGTTCCCAATATATATAGAACAACAGAATGTTGTCGAATAGAAGTCTGCCAGCACCTGCCGTGTCTGTACATGTTATGGCTCTGTGCACCCGCTCACAAATCGCAACCTCGAACTAGGGACCACCCGAAATCTGAACGAACCTTCTTCGTGCTGAGCCTGACCAGATCCACCGTAGGCCCTGTCAAACCCAAGCAGCCAAAAATCCATAACAACCCCAAACCCCAAAATGGACTATTGAGCCAAACCGGCGCAGTGGAAGAGCCACATGAAGGGAGAGACCATGGGAGACATGCGAAGACAAACGTCAATGACTCTCACATTGGCCTTCCACCGAAACGTCTGTTTGGGGGACTGGACCCCGCAACTTTCTGTAGGCATACTTGTTGATTCGATTCCTTCCGCTGCCGACAGCCTTGATCGGCGGCAGCAGCCTGGTCTCATGTCCTGTCTCGGATGCAGTGAGAGGCCTGATCTGCAAAGCAAGCTCTTGGAGTTAGGGTTAGGCCGCGAATCTGTGCTATACACACATATATATATATACAAATATACATACAATCAATATATATATATATTATCATATATATATATATGTATATACACATACAATCAATACTTGCATATATATATATATATGTATATATACACATACAATCAATATTTGTATATATATATATATATATTCATATGTGTATATATATATATAGATGGCCAGACTTTGGAGCTGAATGAAGGCTGTACAAAGGCCGTGACTGAAGCGAGAAGAATGGCATTCTCTGTGCCATGCACCATCCTCGACAAGAGTTGGCAGGCGTGACCGTGTACGACAAGACTGCTACAATTACAAGGTGGTAGCTGCAGTACCCATAGCATAGCAGCATAGCGTGACTCACTCCTCCACACAGATCGCCCCGACCGCGACCATGCCACAGCATGCATCCGCAAGATAATGGTGCTCTAAGGAAACATCCAGAATACAAGATATAGCCTCTGTCTGTCAAGACTTTCTTCCGTGGTGTTTTCAGTTCCATGTCGGGGCCGAAGAAAGAGCATTTTTTCAATCTGTGCTGGCTTTCGACTGAAAAAGTCCCAGAAAGGCCGTGCTCGACACTGTTCGACACTAGCCATGGGCACTGCATCGACGCACCCGCGTTACCCACTCCGTGGGAGCCTGACATGACCTTGCGCCGCAGAACCAGCATCAGCTGGAACGTAATGACATGAGTGAAACTCTTGCGGATCATGCGTGCCTCCCGGTTCCGTCGAACACGAGACTGCTTTCAAAAGCCACTTCAGATTTGCTTCAGAATCACGAGAAGAAAGGCTGAAAGAAGGCACGAGAAGGTGCAAAGTGGGGTCTTAACCACTGACCCAAAGGGTCCAAGTACTAGTATAGTATATACTTTGGGCGCCCAAATACCTACTAAGTACTTACTATAATGGTACATGGACCCTTTGGGTGATCGACTGGCTCAGGGGCCATGACCTGCCGAGTTTTTCCGACAGGCACGGGAGAAATCCAAGAACCCTTTCAGTTTCAAAGGCCTGCTTTTGCAGCTTTTGCAGATGCCGGAGGTTGGAGCTTCCGACCCGATGTGCCTGGCATCCAGACAGTCGGAGACAAATTTTGCAGGACTCCTTGATTCTTGAAAAGCACCACAACGGTGCAGTCATGCCAGTTCCAAGTATCCTGTTTCGCGAAGACGATTTTCGCCCGAAAACATGGTTCGCTGTCCGCTGGAAAACGAAGGACGCATTTGAGCTTGCTTTTACAGAGTTCACCCACAGTGTCCGGCTCGAGGGGTTTTGCCCACACTGGTCTAGTCTACAAACCTGCGGAAGTTGTGTGCCCTTGGTTTGTTGTGCCTTCGCGTGCAAGTTTAGACCAGTAAGAACTGCATACATGTCTGTATGTATGTATATGTATGAATGTATGTTATATGAATATATGCACATATATATATATATGTATATAATAAGTCTGTATATATATATATATATGAGCCGG